AAAAATTGAAAGCCCTTGGAACCAGGGTGTGACACACACACACACACACTTTGGAGAAACGCATTCGTTGTTCTCCAAGCCACAGCCAACCCACTCAGACTCATCTTTGTTCGCCAACTTTGCATCAGAGTCCCCCTTTTGCTCCTCGCATTGGCGCTCTTTGCTGCGTTAGATGCTGGCCCTTCACAGTGTCCACACCAACTTACAGTTTGCGCCAGCAACGTCTCTTCATTTCGTTTCCACCCCGGAGTCCTCGGTTTCACTTTCGTACGAAAACTTGCGATTTGTTTTGACTATGATTTGTGCAGACATTCATGAGTGATGTGTTTTGTGATGTGCTCTGTCGGTGAAAGCTTGCGAAAGTGGTTTTGCTCAACACGCGAAAGCCAAACCGCAAGTTGCGAAAGTGTTGCGAAAGGAACTTGCGAAAGAATAGCCGATTATTGGAACAAATGTTCGATGGATTTTGCGCAATTCTCACATGTGCTTTCGTGACTAAGGTACCAGCAGTCAGAGAGACACCCTTTGTTTGGCCTGGACCTTTGGGCTGGCAGGCTTTGTTTGGTCGGCCAATCCCACATGGCAAAGCAGCAGCAGAGGTGTCAATGTCGGCCTTTTATCGTACACTTGACCTGGAAGGGTTTCCCACTTGGGTTGCGCTTTGGACTTAGCTACTTATAAGTTACTTACGTCGAACTTATCTTACTTATCGATTATATAAGAGATTATAAGAGTTTAAGTAGCTTGTAAGTAGCGCGTAAGTAGCTGGTAAGTAGACATGGTGTTTTTTTCAAACATTGTTCGTTGTAAAGAAACCTGCAAAAACTATGTCTTTTCACCCCAGCAGCCACAAATCTTGGCCGTCTTTGCGGCAAAACAGAACTGAATCCTTCGTTTGAAGGGCCATATGCACCGGCAGCATTTCATGACTGGCATCTTGGTTCTTCCAGCGGCTCAGTCCGAATGCGTGAAGACCATCTTGGTTGGAGGACAACCTTTTCACAAGCAAGTGGAAGCAGCCATCGTGACGACACGCGCCCAGGACTTCGACAGCGTGGTGGGTGTTCACAATTAAGAACTGGCCCCTCTGAAAATCTCTTTCAGCGCACTGTAAGCGGAAAAAGATATCTTTGTCTACGCCCGCGATACACAGACGCTTTCCGGCCAAGGTCGTGTGCAAGGTCCCAGCATCGGTGCCATCCAGCTCACGCACAGCCAGCTGCAAAAGAGCAATGGACACGAAATCCACCCTCCTCGTGCAATTAGCTGCGTACTGCTTGTAGTTCCGGTGCTTACGCTCAGGGCAGAAACAGTCCAGCAACTTCCCCCAGCGCTCGACTTGGCCGGTTACATGCAGACTATAGTGCAGCTTCGGTCGGCAGCGGTCTGCGCCATATATTCGGAGGAAAAGATGGAAATGTTTGTACTGCAGAGCCTGCAGCTCGCCCCGCTGTGCTGGATGGCTCCGACACTGGATCACCTGCTTGCACACCGCATGCAACGCGTCGAGGCATTTTATCTCCTCGACCATGTCGTCGGTAGTGGCCACCAGAACCTCCCACGAAAAGGCCACACAGAGAGGTAATGCCGCCAAGCACTGTGCGGCGTCACCCTTGAAGTCGGATCCATCTTTGAATAGCTTCTCAGAAACGCAGGCGGCTGCGCTGCCACAGGAGATGGGGCTACCGGGCATGGGGCGCCACATGCGAGCGTAGCGACCCAACGCTGACAAACAATCTTTGTTAGTACGTTGCACGCTAGAGAACCACAAACCAAGCTGTTGTGCAACTAAACCGTTTGAGAAATAGATATGCATCGGATCATAGTGGATGCTCTCCACTGGACACCATCCAGACACCTTTGGAGACATGAGGAAAGAATTGTCCAGCTCAGCCAACTTCCATCCCAACAGTGTTTCGTGTTGTTTGAGTCTGGACACAACCGTTTGCTCCGCAAGGTGCGCGTGGATTGCCTCGAGGTCGGTCTGACGGAGTGGGATGGAATCAGTCAATTCATCGGTCACAGTCAGGTATCCTGGAGGCAATCGGCGCCCAGGTGTTACCACGTTCATGCATTTCAAACATGGTTTTAGGCCATTGGGCCCTTTCCAACCCGATGCATTCCGCAACTGATCTGCGTCTCCCAGCAGGATGACTTCCGAAATAAACACCAGAGTACTATTGCCCTCAATAGTAACTGGAAACCCACTCTGAGTCTCTTCCCACATACATTCCATCCACGCACGCACGACAGCGGGACATCTCCCCTGACATGCGTTCATGTCATCGTGCCGCACCAACCCGATTGTCAACCACATGCATTCCCTTCGAATACAATCCATCTCCAAGAAGGTGACATACCCTATCATGGCCTTCCGCGCCGGGTCCGCGCGTAACGGGTTGCCGGCAACAATTTCACCCAAGTAGAAAATCATACGAAGCTCATTGTTGTTACCCTGCATGGCTTTTTGGAAGGCCACGCGGAAAACCTCGCAGGAATCAAGTTTTCCTTGGACCATGCTGGGAACGGACAAACACGGCGCTTTAATCTGCGCATCATCGACAGTGGGCAAATAGATATCGCGGCAGGCCTCAAGTAAGGCCTCGCCATACTTTTGCTGCTTCCTGGTGCAGGTTCGTCGGCCTCTTTGGTCTTTGTTCAAGAGCCCGATGATCTGTCTACGCTGCGCATCAGTCAAAGATCTGATCTGGCGCAGTGCAGAAAACTGCTGCGCCGGTGTGTCCTTCGCATGTAGCCGTCTTCTCTTTGTGCTTTGCGCCGTTGTCTCATTCATACTTTGAGCCGGATGCATCTGCGGAAATGCTACATGTCGTCCAATGTAAAGGATATACTAGATCACTTTATATCAAATCCATCTCACATATACTACCTTCTTTTTTCGTCCACATGATGCAGCGAGTATGTCGAGTTAATTGTGTGCAGCAGTATATGAATTGCTCAGTGGAGTTCAAGTGCCAGGGCCAGGTGCGAGTTCAACTCGCTTGCCCCACGTCACTGTGCGCGACTGCCACGCGATTGTGGACTCGCATGTGCTCCCACGCGCACTGCCTGCTGCGCTTGCCCTCTGGCTCTTTCGGATGGGCTGCGTCTGGCAATGGACTCGCAGGGCGGCGTCTCGAACCGGAAGACTCAGAGGCTTCTGCGCGCCGAGACTCTGACATCTTCTGCGGTGGACTCTCTTCCACCCACATGGGAGACACTTCTGACGGTCCAGGAGATTTGTCTAGTACGGTTGCAGCCACCTCCTGGCGCGTGTCCACTGCCTTTCTATCGGCTTCAGGACTACTTGAGACTTCGATGGCATGCCTGTCTTTTGAAAACAGACAATCGAGCCGATAGTGGTAGCCAATGTCATGGCGACCAGTCCACAGGTGCACTTTGTCAGGTCCCATTCGCATAGCTCGGATCCAGTTGGTGCTATTCAGTAAAGCTTTCACTTCTCGGTCCTTCATGTCTCAAACAACCGCCTTGAGCCCAAAAAAACTACCTTTGGAAAAGCATGTCTGTCCGTCTTAAGAAAAAATCTGCCACAAACGCAGGCCAGCGTAAGCTAAATCCTTTTTGCACCCCGCAAGTATTGGCACATTGAGAGCTGTTCCAAAAGTCTACTGATGCCTATACTCAGTTGACGTCCTTGCTCTTTCCCGTGCGTCGGCGCTTGACAGAGGCCGCGGCGCCCCCTGCACTGGCCTTTGCCCGAGGAGTCGGTTTTGGTGCCATGGCACGCCAGGACTTTTGCAAGAACTGTACTTGCCCTGCCTTTGTCTTCACGTCTTCTTGACGAAAAGGCAGCGGATTCAATGCCTGCGGTTCCACAGAGTTCTTTTGGTCTTCGTAGGCCTGAAGGGTCTTGCGCGCAGCAGCAGACCACTCCAGGATCGTGGCTTTGGTCTCCACCAAAGTCTTCTGCAAGCCCTCATATCCGTCAACGTCTCTCAACTGATGCAGCTTGGGCTCTAACTTCTCTAAAGAAGTCAATGCAGACGTGAGACCTGGCATACATTTGGCAGCTAACGCATTTTCCTTTGCGTTTTCACGCGCTGTCTTCTTGGCCGTCACCTCAGGCTTCGTGTCCGTGTTAGTCCCCTTGCCAGACATATCTTTGTCAGGCACGTCCATGGCAGCATCTCCCTCGGTCATGCCCTTCTTGCCTTTCCGCTTCGGCGCAGCTGCATGCGCATCGCGTTCATGTTGAAGCACACGTTCTTCCGTCTTCTTATATGTCTCAGACCAGGTCAAGCTTTTGACTGGAATCTGATATGTGTAGCAGTCCAAAGCCTCGTTCCATTCTTTGGCTTGCTTCTCCACTAGCGCTGCCTCCCAGCCTTGGGCCACCCAGACGGACAGAGGCAAGAACTTGCCTTCAACTTCCTGCTTGTAAGACCGGATCTGCGTGGTCGTCAAAGACGAAATCAAACAAGCCCGCACCGTGGTCCAAGCAAGCGAAGCATCGGCGCGCCGCTCGCGATGCAGCTGTTGAAAGAAGGTATGGGTATCTGCCTGCGTCATACCCTTGAGTTCCTCTGGCAGTTCCCCCAGATGTCTGCGCAACTGTTTCTCCGCAGAAGCGCAGACATGACACTGGAAGGTGGGGCCACGCAGGCGCCCGTGCTCGAAGGCAAAATCTTGCCCACAAGACTTGCACTGGTGTTTGGCAGCTGCCTCAGCCATGACGTCCAGTTGGAAATGTGCAGCTGTCGGCCAGAAATGGAACCAAGAAAATGTCTGCGGATGTCAAAGCAGAGATAGTGCGACATTAGCAACAAACAGGAAGGTAGTCCACAACAGACCCATCAAAACAGACGTTCCTGCACATCTATCCACAACAGACCTCTCAAAAAAACAAAAAACACGAACGATAGCGCGGACATCCGCGGACACATGTTTTTTTGGTCGCGGACATCTGTCTTCCGCGGACATCAGACCATGTCTACGTTGACTATAGATCTACAAAGCCCTCTAAGCAAGCGGACATCCGCGGACTTGAGGTCCTCAAGCCCACACATAGACTCCGCGGACATCGGCAGACATCCGCGGACATCACTGCGGAGCACTCTGCAACATTCGGCGTACCGACATCATTACCATCAGACTTGTGTCCAGCCACTCCGCAAAGTCCAAAAGCGCTGCTTCACGTACCAGTGGAAGCAGACACATCAGAAGACTCTCCGCTGCATACATCTCCGCTGCGTGGAGTGCAGCGCAGCGAGTCACACGCGGTTGGTCATCTTTCGGAACCGCACAAGGAATCTTTCTAGACTCGCCTGGGGATAGACATGTCCCGTGTTCTGCCTCCCAGAGCAACGCGGCAGCGCGCGCCAGGTGAATCCGTTGTGTGGGCTCCACACAGGCAGCTGCCATGCGCAAGCACTCACGTAGATTCTCCCACGCATCTGAGTCGCTCAGACGGTGCGGCCAGAGCAGTCTGGCGCGCTCCAGTAAGGGTGCCAGCCGAGAGAAATCAGCTTCGTCGAGAACGAAGTCGGCCACTGTTGAAAGCTACGGAGAGAGAGACGCAATCTGCCCTTTTAAAGACACCTATAGATAAGATGTACAGGGAGGAACCAACCGTTGCTACTGACATATAGTTGAAACAAAAAAAGCCCACTGCGCGTATATCGGACCCTCTTTTTTTTCGTGCCATCCGGAAGACTGCAGTGCGAGGTCTCGCTATACACACACACAGATCACCACCGCATGTTGATGATGACTTGCTGTGAGCCGCGCCGCGGGTGTCTATGGCCCGCTGCTCCGTCGCCATCAGCGTCCGGACTTGGAGAGCGGGGCCAGCGCTTCAGGCGCACAGGTGTGGGTGATGGCGAGGGCGGCAGTCGCTTCTTCTTGGACCTGGAGGTCGCAGCAGAGCGGGCGCTGGGCGCCGGCGAAGGACTGGGTTCTTTTTTCTCGGCAGGTCCCTTCGCCGGTTTCTTTTGCTTGCAGCTGCTCCCACGAGGTTCGCGCTCTTCTGGGTATTTCTCCTTGTCCCGCTGTTGCTTCAACAGCCTGGCGTTGCGCTGCGCCTTGTTCCACCCTGCCGTGTTCTGTTCTTCTTTCGTCATCCGTGAGAACAGCTGCCATGCAATGCAAGCAGCATTGCCGAACTCGTGCTGGTCTCGAGCTGCAGGGCTGCCGTCAAGCCACTTCCAGCAGAAGCGGCACCGCACCTTCTGCTGCTTCGCGTTCTTTCCAGCACCACCAGGGCCGCTTGTGCTCGGCTCCGGGGAGTTTTCTGGCTCTGCCGGACGTTCCGACTTGGCCTGCGAGCGACCTCTAGCGCTGTCCGCTGTAGTCGCTTCTGCCTGTGCCGGAGCACATGGAGAGCGGGCACGTTTTGGGGAGCGACCACGTCCGGCAGAGCGAGCACGCCCAGAGGAGCGGTCGCGCGCTGCCTTGCGACGGCTTGGAGACCTGCGCAGGCTTCGCTTGGCGCGGCTCGCAGCCGCCGCGCGTCTCATCGATGAATCCGCAGATGCATCGTCCGAGCCAGAGTATTGGGACTCTTCGCCAGACTTTGGTGTCATGTTGTCCTGCAGGGCACGTTCAAGTTCTGAGTCGCAAATATGTATACATTGTGTGTATATGTGTGCGTGTGTGTACATGTGTGTACATATATGCACCTTGTTATATATATGTATATAAATAGACATCTATGTAGACAGAGGAAAGAAACATACACCGCGCAGGTGACCGCGCTGTTCCTTTGTATTCCTTTGTACAACCCACCCGCAAGTGGAGCTGCAGGGCAGCCACCGCGCAGCTGACTGCACTGTCTGTTCGTGCGCCGCCCGCAAGTGGTGCACAGGGTGTTGTCACCGCGCAGGTAACAGACACCATCGATGAACTCACCACCCGCAGGTGACGAGAGCCGAACGGGTGTGACACCACTCAGGTGCTACACACTATAGCGAATGATTTGCCACCCGCAGGTGGCAAGATCAAGGAGTGTGGCCACCACGCAGGTGACGCACAAACCGACGGACCTGGAGTCGCCACCCGCAGGTGACGAGAGTATAACGAGCGTGCCACCACTCAGGTGCAACACACCAGCGAAGGATCTGCCACCCGCAGGTGACAAGAACAAGGAGTGTGGCCGCCACGCAGGTGACACACACCAATATAGAGTCGCCACCCGCAAGTGGCGATATCAAGAGCGACAGCCACCCGCGAGTGACCATGTCGGTGCCACCACGCAGGTGACAGACATCACTTGACTCGCCGCCCGCAAGTGACCATATATATAGACACATATACACACAGCTAGAGAGATACGCAGACTCCCGACGCACGCGCCGTGACGCGCGAGGGAATCACATATATGTATACCCTGTCATATAAGGTATATATGTGAAACAAAAACTGGCAGATATATTATGTCATGTATATATGCGTCTCCGATCGAAACTGACCCGCCTGACAGTGCGGAAGGGACACCGGGCGCAAATGGCTGCAGTCCTCTGTTGCCTGTGAGCCATCGGACAACACCAGAGTGACACTGTAAAGCAATTCTTCTTCGGTGTATGTGTATGACGCGCGTAGACCCGAACTTAGATTATCGTTTCCTCTGCGCATGTGTGGGAGCAAAGAACAACTCTCACAAACCTTTTTCTCTATAAATGCAGAGCCACGCATGGTAGTGTACGCACAGATCAGGCGCAGATCACGCGCGAGCTGCGTCCCAAGCCGCAGAGGCTTCGCGCAGAGCCTTCCGAGCAGCTTCCAAGGCTGCGCGGTCACTTCCTCCATTTCGCTGCACCTGCTTCTTCGCCGCGTGGTAGGTCCGAGATGTGAATTTCTTGCGTGTGTCGCCTTTCATTCCAGCAGCTGCAGGTTTGCGAAAGACAGCCGAGTGTCGAGAGGGCCGTTTCGGAGACTGCGGCTCGCTCCTGCTGGCCGGGCGCTTCTGTGCAGGGCGTCGACTGGCCGGTCGCTTCGCCACGTGAGCCTGCTCGCGCCAATCCGACTGCAGCTCGCGCAATTGCTGCTGCACTGATAATGGTGCAGTGGCTCTTGCGCGGGCACTTCCTGCCTGCTGTGCCGGTGGCGCAGCCTCATCCGCGGCCGCCTTTGCTGGCGCAGAGCTTTCTTCCACCGTGCCATCCTCGAGGGCCAGGATGGCGTCCGTTGCGGGCGGGGGATTGGTCTTCTTAGACCACATGGCCTGCGCCATGGCCTGCGCATCCTGCGCCAGCTTCACACTTGATTCCACCGCATCAGCCATCCGACCCAGGGCACCCACATCCGGGCCTGCAGCGCTTGAAATCTGCAGCGCTCCATCAGCTGCTAAACGGTTGGAAGTACGCACTGGCCACGTCGTCGCTAAGCGGTAAAAATCCAAATGGCTCGGAGGCGGTGGAAGCGGCTGCTGCCCCGAAGGAAAGGCCTTCCGTCGCAACTCCTCCGGAATGGAGTCCCAGTTCCCAGGCAATGCATCTAAGTAAACAGCCGGCTTCTGCCCCTGAAGCCACTTCCGGATGATGGGCTTTTTGGTTTCCACCAACCGATGTTTAGCGTTCCCAGACATTGCCATGACTTCTCGTTGGTATGCCAGGGCACACAGAAGAGCTAGCGTTGGTTCCGATGGCAAACGTAGGCCGAGGTTAAAGGCGTGACAGCACAACTTTTCCAACACCACGGCCGGATCGCACTTCGCATCCAGAGTTTCTCGCCATAGCCATTCGGGGATGAACTGTGGTAGACTGAGGAAGTCCTGGTTCTGCCGCCGGCCACTCACAGTCTCCGGCTCTGCCACATCCGTTCTCTCAGCCACCCGTGCCCGGATAGCGGCCAGCGAACTCTCGTCCCACAAAGTAACATCCAACGCGGCCAAAATGTCGGCCGATTGCTTTGTCGAAAACTCAGAGATCTTCTCTAAGCTCTTCGTCAGCTTGGTCAGTTGACGCGCCGACGCATCGGCATACGTCGGTAATGTGGTCAAACCCGCCAAGAATCTCTGCGCCGCCACTAAATGCTTCTCAAACGCAGCTGCCATGACCCCTCTAGGCTTTTTCTGTGGTCTATCTCCAAAACTTTGAGCCAACAAAACATATACACAAAATGCGCATTCTTCGAACGAGAAAACCTATTCCAATCACTGCCAGCGGCATGGTTGTACAAAAAGTCCTACTTTGTAAGTAGGTTATAAGTAGATCGTAAGTAAGTCATAAGTCGTCGCAACATATCTGTATGTCTACTTATAAGTAGCGCCTAAGTAGCCAAGTTCTAGATAAGTAGCGCAAAAACACATGTCTACTTATGATCCACTTAGCCACTTAAGTTGAACTTACCCTGCCGTAAGTAGACTTAATGTAAACTTTAAGTATACTTAAACTAGCTAAGTCCAAAGCGCGACCCAAGCAGGGACACTGCGTCAAGTGATTAAATGAACGAGGAAAACAAATTTTAAAGAACCCTTATTAACGAGACTAATTTTGTATGTTCCTTTTACTGCACCTGTTTCTGTTATATAATTGACATTTCCACAATCAATTTCAACTTGACTTCAATGATTCTGTTTCTTCCAAGGCCAGGCTAGCTGAACATCCTTGTCTCTACACTGGTGACCTGGTTCTGACATGTCCAAGGCCTGAGAATTGATGTATTTTGTTTTGAGTCTTGGATAAAAAGACCGTGGCATAAGGGGCAACACCGTGAAACGCGAATCCGTGCTTGCGCACAGGGCTCAGCTGCAGCTTCAGCGCAACCCTGATTTTGGTTCAAAGCTGAGGAACGGTGATTATCAAACCAAGCCCAAACCTCAGAGCTTGGATAGATTTTTCTCAAAGTGGAGGAACTGTGGTATCCTGGCAAGGTTTTTGCAGAGGTGCTACTTTGCTTTTTGAGGTGCAGAATTTGTGGCTGGGGAGGGACAGAATGGCAAGATGTAGATACGGTTGCAGGCTGGAATTGTAGAACTGAAAATGCATTCAGAAAAGAAAAGACAAGAACTGGAAGACAGAAAGGTGTAATATCGTTTGCTATTAGGTTGGAGGCCATTGCTATTAGAAACTGTAAAGCAGTTACCAGTGTTGTGGTTTACCCGCAACATACAGGTTCAAGACTCGTCCACGCAGACGAAAACCGGGCGGTCGCACGTTCGTTCACGTGTTTTCATGGTAGCGGAGCCGACCCGGGGGGCTCAATAAATATACCCCGGGAGAAGAAGAAAGATCCAGGGAAGTGAAGAAGAAGTGAAGAAGAAAAGAAGGTGAAAAGAAGAAGAAAAGAAGAAATGGATGAACAGGTGGCAAAAGCATTGGTGGCCGCTAGCCAGCAGTCAGCCGCGATGGCCCAGGAGGCGGTCAAGACGCTGAAAGAGATGAAAGAAGGAAAGAAAAGCGGCGAAGGATTCGCTGCGGCAAGCAAGGTGGTGAGATCTCCTGAGGTCTTTGAGCCAAAGAACATGGAAGAAGAGCTGTCCCAATGGCAAGACTGGCGATTAGCCTTCAAGAGCTGGATCACTTTCGCCGAAGAAGCCTACAACAAGGAGCTGGACACGATTGAGGGCTCAGAGAGCGAGGTAAAGCTCTCCAGCATGACAGCAGAAGAGAAAGGAAGGTCAGAGAAGCTCTATGCCATTTTGGTTGGGCTGCTACGGAATAGGCCTCTCAAGTTGCTGAGGGCAGTTGAAGGCCGCAATGGCTATGAGGTGTGGAGGCAGCTGAGTCTCCAAAGACGAGATCGAGGTCGATCGCTTTGCTGCAAGCCTTCCTCAACTACCCCAACTTCGGGGATGACCATGCTAGAGCAGTTGCTTGGTCTGGAGAGGTTGGCTGAAGAGTATGGCAAGGTGGCCAAGGAGGAGATTGGTGACAACACCAAGTTGAGCGTGCTGTTGAGTGTGATGCCAGCTGCAGTCAGACAGCATTTGCAGTTGCAGATGACGGAGGACACGTCCTACAAGGAGGCCAGAGAGAAGATGCTGGCCTATGAGCGAACCACCACTTCATGGGGGAGCCAGGCAATCTACAAGGAACTGGCCATCACCAAGGACCACGACAGGCACGATAGGGACGATGAGGTGATCCCCATGGATGTTGATAGAGTGAAAGGTAAAGAGAAAGGGAAAAGAAAAAGAAAGGACAAAGGCGGCAAGTCCAAGGGCAAGCAGAAAGGAAAAGGTTTTGGCAGTTACGCCAAGGGCAAGGGCAAGCAGTACAAAGGAAAGGATGGCAAAGGCAAAGATGCCAAAGGAAAGGGCAAGGGTGTATCTGCAGACACCTGCAAGCTCTGTGGCGGAAAAGGCCATTGGAGCAAGGAATGTCCAATGAGGGCATTGAGACAAGTCAGTGAGACATCTTCCACTGTCACGACTTCAGTGGGAGACAGCGCAAGTGTTGCCCAGGCATCAGGTACGACGCCATCAACAAGCTCGAAGAATGTCAGAAGGGTCGAGACGGTGATCCGATGAGGACGAAGAGGACAATGCAGTTGGGCGTGTCCGGATGGTGGGGACTGAAACCTATGACCTCACCTACAGCGACAATGATGAAGATTGGATCATGTTCAAAGATCCAAGTGAAGGCGAAGGAGAAGCTCATTTTGTGGGTTTTGAGGATTTGGTCGATGGTGGAGGTTCGAGGCCCCACAGGAAGGGATGCAACAAAGTTGACTTTGTTCGCACGGTCGCTGGAGAAGATGGAACAATGGTGATCCTCGACTCAGGTGCTGACATCTCGGTGCTCCCCATGAGCTACTGAGATGTGGGATTCCCGATTGGCCGGGTGACCACGTTGAGAGATGCTCAAGGAGGAAAGATGACGAATGGCGGCATGCGCCAAGCCATGATCGAGCTTGAGGATGAAGACGGCCAGTTGGTCGAGCTAAGGGAGAGTTTTGCCCTGTCCAATGTCAAGGAACCACTACTTGCATTGGGCAAGCTGATGCGCGTGATCTCGATGGACTTCTGTTTCAGCCGAGGCGATGATGAGGTGGATGTCGAAGTGAAAGAGGACCTGCGCATTTACCAAGGTGATTTGAGAGGAGGAACATGCCTGGTGTGACAGATGATTGGTCACATGCAGTTTTGTGTGTGCCAACACCAGGGAAAGGCAGGGCCCATCTGAAGTTCATGGCTGAGCAGGTGATGAGGTTCATTGGGAGCTTGGGGTACTCACGAGTAATCCTCAAGGGAGATGGAGAACCCTCGATGAGAATGTTGTTGGAGGTACTTCAGCAAGCAAGGTTGAGATTGGGATTCCACACAAACATTGAGATCAGTGAGTGGCCCAGCAGATTCACAGGCCAATGGTCGTGTGGAGAGAGAGATCCAGACGGTGAGAGGCATGGCGAGGACCTTGGTGCATGGTGTCAAAGAAGGCTGTCAGATGCACATCAAGCCATCTTCGCCGGTGTTGCTTTGGGCTATGCGCCATGCTGGACGGTTGTTGACACACTACAGAAGACAAGGAGGTGGACCAACAGCCTATGAGACCGGACAGGAAGAAAGTACTGTGGCAAAGTTGCAGTCTTTGGTGAGCGTGTGTTGGCAAGGGTGAAGAGAGCCAACGGCAGTGACAAGTTTTGAACCGGGCTTATGGCTTGGGAAGACAGACAGAGCAGATTTCCACATGGTAGCAACAGCTGCAGGCTTGAAGTGGACAAGAACCATCAGACGGCTACCGACCCTGAGGCCGTGACGTATGTGAAGTTCTGGCCATCATGGAACATTGGGTTTGGACAGATTGGCGCCAAAGCTTCTTCGCTGGTAGGCAAATTTCCTACGGTCCCATTGCCTCCAGATCTCCCCCCAGGAATTCGAGCAGAGGAGAAGAAGTTGGCTAAGGAGGAGAGAACAAAGAAGAAAGAAGATGAGGCGAGGCTGAGGGGTGAAGAAGGACGAGGAGAGAAGAGACAGGCAGGGGCAGATGAAGAAAGCAGCAAAGGAGATGATCCAGACATGAGTGATTACACTCCGACGCAACCAGATGAAGAAAAGGATGAAAGAGGTCTGGTGATTACAGATGACACGTTGCTGCAAGACCTGCTTGATAGTTTGGAGGAGCCTATGGTTGAGAGCGAGGTTGACAAAGCGCCAGTCCAAGAAGAAGCCCCATGGATAGTCCAAAGAGGTCAGGTGGAGAAGGAGATGTGGAGGATGAAATGCCAAAGTGGCAAGGTCTGCGCCGAAGAAGATGTTGAAGACCAAATCAAGTTCAGAGAAGGATGAACCGGAACCAGCATCAGCTTCGACAATTCGCATGGAGGTTGCTGGAGAAATGCTGTATGATGGAGATGAGAGTTTGGAGTTTCCAGATCAACCTCCAGAGTTGCCAGAGGCGGAGATTGAAGATGAAGCCACAAAGGAAGAGATTCAGAGGCTGATTGGCGTGACAGTTTTACTGCCACCAGGAAAGAACGATGACTTGGAAGACATTCCATTGCTCACAACAAAGTTGGTGATGGATTGGCGGCGGCGAGAAAACAGGTGGAAGAGAAGGCAAGATTGGTTGCACAATTTTGCCTGGTGTGATCCTAGACGTCTTTGCACCAGCGGGAGGACATTCACTCCTGAGATTGGTCCCAGCCATTTGTCAAGTCAAAGGCTGGAAGATGATCACTTTGGACGGCAAGGACGCCTATTTGATGTGTGCGCAGCCACGAAAGGTGAAAGTTAGCCTAGACAAGGCATTGGCAGAAAGACTTGGACTCCAGCAGGAATGGATTCTTGGCCGGATCCTTCCAGGACAACGAGAAGGTGCAGCACAATGGTTTCAAGAACTGAGGAAAAGCCTGATGGAGGCAGGGCTCACGCCATGCGCTGAAGCGCCCACTTTGTGGAAAGGGCAAGATGTGATCTTGCTAGTCCATGTCAACGACATGATCCTCGGAGGAGAAGAGAAAGAGGTGGCCAGGGTGACTGACCATCTCATGAAGCGCTACAAGGTGTCTGTGGAGGATGACCAAGTGCTGAGTTTCTTGAAGAGGACTTTGATGGTGGATGCCTCAGAAACCAAGATGATGGTGAATGAGAAGTACATCCACAACCTTGTGAAGATGATGAGTGTCTTGAAGAGATCGAGAACTCCAGGAGCCGGAATTGAGGATGGAAAGACCATGGAGGAGGACGACTGGAGGGAAGCCAATGTACAGGTCAGCAGTTGGAACATTGATGTACATGGCCGGACGACTCCAAAGTCCGACAGAAGGTGCATGGAAGGCTCTTGAGAAGTTGGTTGGCTATTTGGCTACAACCATGGACATGCATTTGATGATGAGAAGTCAGACGAAGAGCAACTCGTTCAGGAACAGAACACGAGGTCTGACAACAGCGCCCAAGGGTGAAGAAGCTGAACACACGTGGTTGCTGGAAGTGGCCTGCGAGTCAGACTGGTCAGGAAACAAGCAGACACGAAGCTCGACATCAGCAGGATGTGTTTTCTTGGCAGGCAATTGGATTCATTCCTATGCCAGAACCCAGAAGAACATCAGGTTGTCAAGCACGGAGGCAGAGTATGTTGCCTTGGTGTCGGGAGCTTCAGAAGGTTTGTTGCTGAAAGCTGCAGTCGAACACCTTACAGGTGAGCAGGTGAAGTTGGTCATCTATGGCGACAACAATTCGAGCATAGCAATCGCTCAGAAAGAAGGTGTTGGAAAGTTGAAGCACCTAAGTGGCCGACTACTATGGCTCCAGCAGAGACAGAGCAAAGATTTAGATTTGCGGAAATTGGATACGGCTACAAACCCATCTGACATAGGCGCCAAGACGCTTGGAGGCAAGCGCACCAACCTTTTGATGTACATCATGGGCTTTACAGACTCCTCACAGCAGCTTGGCAAGACAGAGTTCGAAGCAGAGAGAGCAAAGGCTGAGCAGAAGAGGAGGTTGCAAGAAGTGAGGAGGATGGTGTTTACAGCAGAAGGGACACCAGAGAAGAGCACCCAAGCGAACCAGCTGGCAAAGAGATTGTTGAGGCTCACGATGACGGCGTTGCTAGCAGTTTCAACCTTGGGCCTGGCGACGGCAGAAGATCAGCAGTGCTTTCCAGAGGATGAGCCGCAGAAGCAGTCAGAGGGATTGCTTGGGAGAAGGGAGACAGGAAGTGAGATGCTTGAGCAAGTGCTGATGGGATTGACAATCGAGATTGTGATCTTGAGCATTGCAATCCTGATCTTGCTGAAAGCCTTGAAGAATACAGCAAGAGAGCTGAGGAGGCATGTGACGTCATGGCAAGCGCTGAGGAGTGCAGTCGGAGGTGACGAGACCTACACCTCAGATGAAGAGCAAGAGAGGATTGGTTTGAGCACGTGGAACGCTCCAAGGAGATGGCCGGAGAACCAAGGAAACACAGAATGGCAGAATTGGTCAAATTGGCCATCAGGGCACAGGACCAGGCACGAAAATGATGAGACAAGCGAAGAACCTGAAGGCAGACAGTGGGTTCAATGGGCAGGAAGCTCTGGATTAACTTTCAGAGACGTGGTTGGCCCGCCTTGGGGTGAAGAAATGGAAGAAGAAGCACAAGTACAGGATGGTGAAGTGAGAGTAAGCTCTTACATCGACGATGAGGGCTATGCGCACGAGACAGAAGTGCATGTGAGAACGGTGAGAGTTGAGACAGAGGAGGAAAGAAGGCAGAGAGATGAAGATGAAGAACTTGAGAATAGCCTGACGACAGACTATGGAAGTCTGGAAGGGCACATGGAGCCCGTGGGTGAATACGAACACCTGGAAGATGACGCCTATCAGGCGTACAGGCTTGAGCAGATTGAGAATGATGTAGGCATTGAAGTTTACATCATCATGAAGGTGAGACAATTTCGCCAGATGATGGAAGAAGATCCAGCAGATGAAGACATCCGTACGGGATACGAGATGTTCAGAGAGCTCCAAAGGATGCTGATGATCACCGGAGCAGAGACAAGAAAGGAGGTGACTGACTACATTAGAAGCTTGATTGAGGCAGTACACCTACCATGTGAAGAAAGGGCATGCAGATGTGAATTGCCCTTTGGAAGAAAGCGAATGGCCAGATGGCTGGATGGCTGCAAATTGGGGACCACCAAGAATGCTGAGGGAATTCAGAATGCCACCAAGAAGACAACAAAGGAGACGGAGAGATGAAAGCAGCAGCTCTGAAGAGCATGATGCGGCAGCGGCTTTTGAGCTGCAGGATCGAGGTCGTGATGACCCAATGGTCCTTGATGAGCCCGAGCCTGAAATCGAGTAGGTGCATCTGAAAAGATGAACACTGAAGTGGTTTCATGGCGAGGGAACCTTTTGACAAGTCCCTAGCCACGAAAAGGCAGGGTGTAAAGCAGTTACCAGTGTTGTGGTATACCCGCAACATACAGGTTCAAGACTCATCCACGCAGACGAAAACCGGGCGGTCGCACGTTCGTTCACGTGTTTTCAGAAACAAAGAGAACCGATGCCGTTGCAGGCTGAAATTGTAGTCAATCAAAGTCAGGACATTAGACATTCCTGTGTGACTAAGGGAACATGACAGTGAGTGCAGCTCTCAAAATACGATGTAGACTTTCTGCTAAAATGGCAATCAATAATCAGATTGATCACGCCATGTTGTTTAGCATCAAGGTATTTTCTACTTAGCGTGTCCATCTAAGGTCTCGAATTCGGCGCGAATGCGTGGGATGCTCAGATGTTCTTTACTTGTGCTTTGCTTCAAACAGGTTGCGCATCAGGAGTGTGGTTAGAGTGATTCAAGGCTACTTGGCGTCATCAACGAGACAGCTATTTTTGGGTATGGCATTTTCTTGGCAGACAACTGCAGCAGGCATGGGCATTGTGCTTGAAACCCGGATCTTCCCCTTTGCAGATGGAATAAGGCCCATAAAGCGTGATCCTGTGGGATATGTAGAGAAGATGCAGCATCCTTACAGCCTCGGAATTGGTGAAGTCTGGACATGGAGAAGTCTACCACATTTGAACTCAGGGATGATCATCCATTTGATGAGAATTGCTGCAACTCGCTCTGACCTCAGACAATTTCAGTGTTTTTGCACTTCATCGCGCCATCTCCAAGCTGAGAGCAGCACCGTATCCACCCAGCCAGGACGAAGTATAGCACAACTGTCACGTGCTGTCCTTAGTGTATTGGATATATAGCTTTGCAATGGAGGTAACAGCGATTTAATTAGATTTTCCAGTGTTCAGATGTTTGAGAAGCTCTTGAGGTTCTCTGTTCCTCCAGACCTTTACAGCGTCAGGTTGATGGCGGACAGCTCATTTTCGGCTTCTTGTATTGTTTTGAACCCGACACTATGCCATATATTCACCACTTGCGACCAGCAGTCTGAGGTACGCCCAAACACCACATTGGGCTTCTTACCAGTGGGCGAAGTTACTACTGCATGGGCCTCAAGAGCTGGCCAAGACTTGCCAAGATACAGATTCTGACAGAATTTGTGTGTCCACCAAAAAGATGAGATAAAGTCATTTGTCCGCTTTGGTGGGAGGAGATTTGGGATGCAAACCAGACGAAAGCAAGTCTTTCCAGCGCCAACAGGCAGCTGTGTCGCAGTGCGAACGTTGGTGTTTCAGAGTTTTCGCGAGCCGCTACTTATCCAACACAATTTTTGTTGATTCTTCATTTTTTCTAATTGTATATATAGTTGTTTAATTTACGATATCAATATATATATATATATTAAGCTGACGCATTTTGCATGAACACAACGGTATGCTCAAGATGGCATGAATGTTTTAAGTCTTTACGAGGAGCCTTGCTTTAGACACTTTAAAAGCGATTTCATTGCCAATCTCTTGAAAGCTCTTTTGGGCAGTTGTTGCAACAGATACGCAAAAAGAGGTATATAAATATTTAAATAGGTATGAACTAGGCTGAATTTAAGAAGGCATGATTTGTTGCCTTTTAGTTTAGGACAACGGCAGCATTCTGCACTTTGATTTGAGTTCAGTTCGTCTCTCACCAATCAAAAGTGGTGTATCGGCAAGTTCCGTTCAAAAGTGACAGTGGCATGGTGGCACATGCGCCACCCCAGCACAGTGTGCCATAGACTACATTGGAATTGATCTACTGTAAAGGTGTGTGCAAGGGGTTTTATATCGTGGCAGTATACTGTGTTTTTTCGCGATTTGAAAGACTTATCGAAGGTATTCCTTTTCCCGAGAGCGCCTGAGCGAAGGGTTCTTCTTAAAGAAGCAGGTGCACTACGTATCATATCTTACATTTGCACATATCCAGAGTTGCGTACTCCACACCAGCGCAGTGTCACATTTTTAGATCTCACGTCTTGACATCCATGCATATCCAGACATGCACATCTTCACATCTGCACCCCTCTCTCTCTCTCTCTCCCTCTCTCTCTCTCTCTTATCTATCTATCTGTCTGCCTGTCTATCTATCCTATCCTATCCTGTCCTGTCCTATCCAACCCTATCCTATCCTATCCTATCCTATCTTACCTTATCCTATCTTATCCAACCCTATCCTATTCTATCTATCTGTGAATCTATCTATCTGTCAAATTCACAGTACTCGTTCCTTTGGCCTTTCAGGTTGAGCGTATCGGTCGATCGCTGCCATCCTTCCTCAAAGGATCCTTTGCGTATGCCTTTACACACCGGTGCCATGTGAAAAGTGAGCCTGCTACTTGTGTTTTGACTTGAGGGTTGTGCCAAACCCGTTGTCGATCAGTTGGCGCCACAGCCTACTTTTGCATGTTGTCCCCCTCCTTTTTCGGTGACGAAGACCAGGACTCAGATCCTGCAGAAGTCGGTTCGGACCTGTGAGTGGGTTGATGATGAACCCAATATGCCGTTAGGGGCCACACTGAGCCGGCGATTGAGGATGAACACTTCACCCGGTTTTGTTTGCGATGGTTCCACTCAAGCCAGCTTCAACAAGACGACCTGTAGCTGGTCTTGAACCCGTAGCTTGGGTATCGTTCAGACCGCCTAACGAGGACTACTGTCCCTTCAGGAACTTGGCTATACATGCCCCAGCAGCAAGACTCTGGAAGTCACCAGTCCAGAAGAAGGAGACGAAATCGCCGTCCTGTCCGAGGTCTTGACAAATGATCCCGTCATTGACCCTGGTCCGGCGTCGCCGCCCGTAGACATCCCCGATTTTGAGGTTCTCCAAAGGCATCGGTGTACGCAAGACCACCATGAGGCTGATCCACCAGCCAACCCTTTCATCGAACCAGAGGACCCCAAGATCTTGAGAGTGGTGAAGAAGCTTTTGAACATGTGAGCACCAAGCGCTCAGATGGCTCACAGAACAGAGGCAAGGATAACTGGAGCTCCATGTTTAGCCGTTTAGCTCGAAGCCCAGGCCCCCGCCACCCGTGTGGCGCTATGAGAAGGACGTCGCCCGTGCTTGGTCGAATGGAGGCTTCATGATTCTTTCACTATACACTTCCCTTCAAGGGGAGGTTTCTCGGGCGAGACCATGAGAAACTACATCCTTTGCGCTTCAGGAGAACGCGGCGTTGCTTGAAGGGCGTTGGCGTTGAAGTGAGCGGCTTGTTCGATCAAGAAGCTCTCGGGACTTTCGTCAGAAGCCCAGAGGAGGCATCCTCATCGGACAGAGCTTGAGAGCTTTGAGACTTGAGGGAGTTGCTGGGGCCTTAGTTCCAGTACCCGGACAACAAACCTGGCAACAGCGTCCAGGAACGCAAGCGCAACTCAAACTGTGCCGTGCGCCGACAAAAGGGCGTTGGCGAGGAGATGATGTTCGCGCGGCTGCAGAGAAGACAGCCTTCTCACACCTCGGCTTCAACCGCCTACCGTCCAGTCGGGAGGGAGCCAAGCAATCCCTTCTCATCCACCACAACAACGGTTCCATGACCTGTGCAGAACACCTCAATCGCCTCACCACCAAAGAAAGAGATCCAGTTCCAGGTTGGGAAGGGTTCACCGACAGTGGCTGAAATGCCCAAGGCTATCCCACTGCTTGGGAGCAACCGCCTGGAACGGCTTAGCGCCGTCGTCGGCGCTCCCTCTATATGCAGGTGCGCTTCAAATAGCTCGGAATTGCAGCTGAACTTGTGAAAGTTGGCGGTTACCTTGCAGTTGAGATTGTGAATTTTGTTTCGAGCGCACCTTCATCCATGTCATGTTGGAGTTCATTTGAGTGCGCCGTGTTTTGGAAGCTTCCAGACGCTGGGCGCATGTTTTTCAATTGATGTGAGACGTCGGCCTCCAGCATGGCTTTACCGTTGGAGCTTTCTCACCACGGCCCTTCTGAACTTTGCCAGGAACCTCATCCTACACACTGCTCAAGGCCACAAAGTGGCTCCTGATGATGATGGAGAGAGCTGCAGCCACCATTGCCAGACGACGAGGACCTCGACCGACGGGGCGCCTATAAGGCGGCCGAAAGGCCAACCCAACCAGCGCGTCAAGGAGCTGGAAGCTGAATGTGAAGCCATAGAGCAATGATTACAGTCTCAGATCATTGCACCTTTTGCAGGAGGTCAATCAAGAGATGGTGAAGGCTCAGACCACGGCTCACTATGATCGGTCTGGATTGCAGATTTTTAATTCCATCTTCAACCACAACCTCAACTTCTCATGACCTCCAAAGGTCCACTGCGAGATCTGGCCATTGAACTGGCCTATGACCAGACTAACCGTGACAGGTATTTCGCCCATTCGCAACTATGAGGGAAGCGCAGCAACCAGCGCCGCAGACTGACTGCGGCGGCTCTCCCGCCCGATATATCGTTCCCATGACTCCCCTTGATAGCGCACCGTGAAACTTCGTGAGGGTTTCTCACCGTGGTTGCAACAACCATACCCAACCCTGAAAGACCAAACAAAGAAAGACCAGTGTCAAATTCGCGGTGCTCGTTCCTTTGGCCTTTCGGGTTGAGCGTTTCGGTCGATCGCTGCCATCCTTCCTCAACAGACCCTTCTATCTATTATCTATCTACCTATCTATCTATCTATCTATCTATCCACCTACCTATCTATCTATCTATCCATCCATCTACCTATCGGTCTTCTCTTCCTTGCTTTCTGGTGTCTTTCTTTTCTTTTTTTGTTCTTTTTCTTTTCTTGTATTTTGCTTCATTTTCATTTCCTTTCTTTGTTCCTTTCCTTTCCTTAGATTTCTTCTTTCTCCTTTCTCCTTTCCTTTCCTTTCTCCTTTCTCCTTCCCCCTGTCTCCTTTCCTTTCCTTTCTGCTTCCTTTTTCCTGTCCTCTCCATTTCCTTGCTCCTTTCTTCTTTCCTTTCTTTCTGTCCTTCTTTCTTTCTGTCTGTCTGTCTGTTTTTGTCTTTCTGCTTTCTGTCTTGTTTGTCTTGTTTGTCTGTCTGTCTGTCTGTCTTTCTTTCTTTCTTTCTGTCTCTCCCTCTCTCTCTCTCTCTTTCTCTCTCTCTCTCTATCTCTTTCTTTCTCCGTCTCTCTGTCTCTCTTTCTCTTTCTCTTTCTTTTTTCTTTTGCGCTCTCACTCTCTTTTCTTTCTTTGTATATATGTTTTTCTCTTTATCCTTTTCTTGTTGCGTATTTTTTCTTTCTTAGGCCGGGGCTGGCGCCGACGAGTCACCACGAAACGCAACTCTATCACGACGCGAGTGTGAAGTGTCCAAAACTGAGAGAATTTGTGATGTCGCCGGGAACCCTCTCGCATGAAATGCTTGTCAAGCGTCCAAAAAAGACGGAGAGGATATAGCGATTTCAAAGTCTCAGCGGCAACCTTCTCGCTGGAAATGTGTGTCCAGTGTCAAAAGCTGAGGGAATATTGCGATATATTGCGATTTTGATGTGCCCGCGGCAGAATTGCATGTGACTTCATCATTCTTCTGTGTTTGTAAAATTTTGCACACACAGTAGCAAAACATCAACTTCAAGACCTTTTTGGGACTGGACCTGGGCCCGCACTTTATACATTACACTGCAAGCCCACATGTATAGACCTGCATAAACATCACCTTGAACACATCTTTGGCCAACCCCGGAAAAACCTGAATCCACACATTCTCCCGGAACAACCAACACGCGCAAACCTGCATGAACATGGACAAGAAGGCATCTTTGGGGCAGGACCTGGACCACAAATTTTGTATCCTCTGGCAGGGCCAAAGCCGGTAAGCGAAAACGTCCCCACGGTCACAGATTAAGAAGCGGGAACCTCGACTTTTCCATATACGGCTGTGACACTGCGCGAAGAACCCTCCGATTCCTTTCCCAACCGTCACGGACGGTCACGGCGACGTTCACGGTAACCAACTAAGACCTCAAGATTGCACTTGTGCAGCCCTCACAGTGCGCACAGGATTGTCCAATTCCCTTCCCCACTATCACAGACGGCCAAACTGCAACTGTATCACCCTTGCCAGCCCTGACAGTGGGGCAATGATCCGCTCTGACAGGTAGTGCAGATACTTGTGCATGGTATGTATTTCTGGGGAGATCACCAGTGAATGAATGTTCGCAAAAAATCTGTGAACTCTGAAAGTTCCGCGAATGTGTCGTTGGAGTCCCCGTCACCAAACTTGATTCCGCCCCATTACCCCAGCTACCTTACCTTATTTGGGTAGCGGTTTGAGTTGTGCATGACTGAGTTCCGAACCTCCTCACAAGATATTCCTCAAGGCCTCAAGGTCTGTCGCGCATATGCTGCAACTCAGCCTAGGGTAGCTATAGAAACTCTCAACCTTGTGTGTAGATCATGCTGCAATATGCTAGTTTGTAGTTAGTTTTCCCTTCTTCATACTGGAGTTAAAATAGATGTCCGCTGGACATGCTCTTAGGAACATGCTTCGCGGCGGTCGCGACAAGTCCGCAATCTTTTCTCTCAACAGTTTGCTGTTGGGATTCTTTCTTTAGCCGTGACCCTTGCTTCACCGCCTGGTAAGGGTCTGTGTTTCCATGCTTGCCGCCTGTGGGCCCCTTTTTCTCCACCTTGGGTGCCGTGGGCCCTTTTTGATTACATGCTGTTCCCAAACAGCTGGAGGCCATAAGAACATAAGGGCACACAAGTGGGCACATGTTTCCACCAAGATTCTGGAGTTGATGGAACTGATGCAAAAAACACCCTGCTGAAATAGTCCATGCTGGTATAATTGTGCGATGAATGGCCGTTCCATCATGAAAGGATTATTGATCAACCACCATATACATACAATACACAATGTATCAAATATATAAAGGTGACGTGCTTCACTTTAATTGGACGAGGTGGCCCCACCTTTGTTGTCACAACTTGTGCAACTTTAAGGACTGGACGCCGCACAGCCCCTTTGACAAGTAGTATATATATATATATACAGATACAGAAAGAAACAGATGACAGGTTGGGATAAAATTGCATAGTTTTTTTTTGTTTTTTTTAACGGCACATCCTCACACACCCATGGACATTGGGCTCTCTGTTGTATCAGCCCTCACAGTTTTGGGCAAGGCAAACATGGTGGTGTAATTCTAAATGCGAACAACAATAATCCTGGGTGCTTTGGCCATATTTCCTCAACCGAAGGCAAGAAACTCGTTAGACATCAGAATAGAAACTACTAGAAACAGATCAGTTGAAGTCAACATGGGCCACAGCTGAATTGTCGCTCTCCGAGAAGTCTGGGGATTGTCAAGTGCCCAAACAGTCATCCCTGCATGTTGATGGTTTCAGCCACCAGATGGGAGGTATTGACGTGACATTCATGTGAGCATGAAGATCACGTCGGCGCTAGATGTCGCCAGTTTCCGAAACTCACATTTCCAGTTTCCAAGCGCAAGTTTCTAAACCCAGCCCCACGCTTCTACTTTCCGAACCCAACGTTCCCAGTTTCCGAACCCCACGCTTCTCATGTAAGCATGCGGGCTGCGGGCGCCCAAGTTAGGGGGGACATTTCGGCCTGGAATTTGAACAGGAACTCACTGCCTGGTAGGCAAGCTGGGATGCTCCTGAGCCTCTTGGTACTCTTGCAGCTGCCTTAGCCATTTTGCATCTGGTTTTTGATTTGCACTCACCAACACTTGCATTGAACCTTCGTCAATGAGTTAAAAGACTTGTGAAAAATCCTTCATGAGTCAGCTTTCATTTGCATAGAGGGTTCAATTGACGGCGGCAAGCACTTTGTTGTCAGGACATGGCGCACTTTCCTAGAGCCGCCCATACTTCCAAATGCCAACAGGCCAGATATAATAACGACCAAACCAAACCGTCTTCGCTTGTTCTCTGAGCGCCTCTTGCTCATTTGGGAAGGTCATGACCAACACTTTGTTGAGAACGTCGCAGTCGTTTCCATGTATACAGATGTTTTCCTTTCTTGCAAATTCTACAAAGCTGCATTTAAGATGCCGCTTGCCGCCAAACCACACAGAGTTTGTGCATGCCTTTTTTGGCAGTTCCCGAATGGGACCTCGCAAAATTCAAATCAAGTGTCAGGCTGTACCCTGCACTACACATACGTGCATGTTCATCGGATAGTGAGTGGGAGCTCTTGGAATGAGTGTTTTCTGTCAGACCAAAAGTACAAATGGATCCATTCTGCGGTACTGTACCAGGTGTACCACCTTGACCTCTCAACATTTGTTCAGGTTTCACCTGGCAAACATGATTGCATTTGGCGTCCGTGTTTGCGCTCAAGTAGTGAAGGGAGCAGGGCAGAGGGTGTATTTTGAGTTAGGGCAGTCTAGACAGTAGACTCTAGACTTGTCGCAGGTACTCAAGAAAAATAGCAAGCTATTTTATCGCGAGTCAACAGTCCTTAGTCCTTTGAAGTGCATGCGCTGACGGACCACTTTGATTCTATGAGCCCTGGGCTGAGTTCAATCATGCAGCTGCAACTGCGGAGGATGACCGCAGCATGTACCCAGGTCAAAGTGAGCAGAGGCAAGCCGGGAGCGGGGCTGGAGCTTTTTGGTTTGTAGAAAACATGCACAGAAGACAATGCTTTCAACACGCTCTTGTTAGCATCATTTGGGCATATTTTTGATACTGCATCATCGTTTATTTGATTCAGTGGCATTGCCTCTCAAGGCCCGATTTGATTCCATAGTCAGCACACTGTCAGACTTCTGGGCGTGTGTTTGCGTGTGCTGCGATTGACAGAATGTGATTTGTTCTTCTTTGTGGACGGATGTGAGTGTTGTGACAGCATTGTATTATCATGTTGTTGAGTCTTCACATGTTTTCACATAGGTTACGCTTGAGATCCAGACCTCGCTCCCGCTCTGATAGAAGGACCGTCAACTTTCCAATTCAGAATCCTTTATGCACGGACATGCAGTGTGAACAAAGTCGGATTCAGAAACTGCACTGTATTCAGAAACTGGTCTTCAGAAACTATTTCGTGGTATTCAGAAACTCTTGTATTCAGAAACTATTTCGTCGTATTCAGAAACTATTTCGTCATATTCAGAAACTATTTCGTCGTATTCAGAAACTACTGTCCGTCATGCTCAGAAACTTTTATTCCCAAACTGGGGGGCGATGTGAACAACCACCTGCGTGGTCAGTTGATGCGTTCTTTTGCATTCAGGGTGGGGTGGGGGGAGTGGGGCTGGGGCAGTAAGCTTCCGTAGATGGTTGCGCGGACCAATGCTTTCGTGGGTTAGGGTGGGGTTGGGGGGGAGGTGGGGGGGGTGGGGCTGGGGCAGTAAGCTTCCGCGCATTGTTGAGGCGGGTGGCGTTGTCGAGTTTCCGAATCCAAGCGGCCAGTTTCCGAATACAACCGTGGAGTTTCCGGCTAGCAGTTTCCTTTACAGCCGTCTAGTCTAGTTTCCGCATACCACCCTTCCAGTTTCTGAATACAACCGCCTCAGTTTCCGAATGCAAGTTTCCGAATACAACCGTGCAGTTTCTGAATCCCAGTTTCCGAATACAACCATTCCAGTTTCCGAACACAACCGCCGAGTTTCCGAATACAACCGTCGAGTTTCTGAATACAACCGCCGAGTTTCTGAATACAACCGCCGAGTTTCCGAATACAACCGTGACCCATGCAGTGATCCACAAGTGACTGCTAGTGGTACCGCGCAGGATTTGCATTTTTCGGTTTCCTCTTCTATTCTATTCCATTCCACTAGTGTATATGTATATATATATATTATATATGCTGGAACGTTACTAAATGCATCATTGATATAATAAAGATAAGCTAAAATATTTTCCATTTTCATTAGTTCTTGTGTTAGCAATATTTTTTGCACAGCTACTATCAGCTACTCATTTTTTGTAATGCTATTAGATTTACGATGACGGTGCATATAGAAAACAACTATCACGTTTTGGTGTGAAGATCTCGTTCTTTGATAAATAGATTCTGCAATTGTAGCTGGTAAATCTATTTGTTTAACCCGTACATCAATAACATCTGAGCTTGCTGCTGAACACTATTAGTTAAAGCTATCAGTAGCTTATCACCATAGGTATTTTTTAACATCAGCTTTCTATGTTTACTATCAAATCGCATTCTTTTATTCCAACTATTCTTTCCTTCAGTACACAGTAGGTCTAAATTGCTCATTATACATTACATGTTTGCTCTTTATTGTACGTGCTCGCCCTGGATGCCTTCTTTTGCAAGCTGAAAACGTCTGTTAGGTGTGTACGCTTCTAGTTTTGTGTGTTTCATCCTTTGCGGACCAGCACTCCTCCCTGCTCCCTCTTGGAGCAGCTCTAGAAAACACGCCTTGCAGGCTCAAGCCGTTCTGGTGTGATTTCTGCACGCCTTGCACTCCCTCACTTCGGTCATGGCTGCCAGAACTGCTACGCACCGAGCGTCCGTGTGCAAGGCGCTGTTCTCATCCTCATAGAGGAAGCTTGTGTTGTCGTACGACCTCTGTCGCTGAGTTCGCACCTGGCAGCATTGGCATAGCGCAGTCGCCTGCTTCTGTGATGCATGGCGAAGTCCTTGACAACGCGGTGTCCGATGGACCAAGCTTGCCACAGCACCATCTCCGGCCACTCGCATTGCGTTCGTGTAGGAGGTTCCTCTTCAGGTTCAGGTTGCCCTGGTCCTCGGCCTTGATGTCCTCATGATGCCCCAGCCGATGATGTCTTTTGCCCAGGCCTCACCACTTCGCTGGAAGAACTCGTGGCATTTCCCCTTTGAGCCTCCATGGATCTCAAAGACCTCGTTGAAGAAGATGTCGAAGTTCCGTCGGATGATGTTGATGGCCTCGTCATGGATGTAGTTCCTGTTTTGGGTTCCACCCGGAGCGCTCGTGCAGCGATGCTTGTCGGAGCCTCCCCCTGAATGACCTTCATGAATCCCCCGTGATTGATGGCTTATAAAATGTAGATCCTTTTCTCTTACAAAATGCAAATTCCAAGACGCATTTTATAAACATGAGGGTTTGTATTTTTTAAGGATAACTACATAAGATCTGGAGTATCGATGTACATAGGTCGTTTAATAAACTTTACTAACTTGGACACTGAATGACAGTAATAGAGGGCAGGATTATAAGAATTCACTTGTCGAGTTGTCGGAGGGAAAAACAGGTCTGATCTCAAGAGCTAAACAGAAGCAACCATCTTTAGCAGAAAAACGAAGTCTATAAAATCAAAAACATTGTCCAGGTCAATTTATTTGCATTAAAGCATATAACCTAATTTAACCGACAGCCAATATTATGTACATATAACAAAAATAACATATCAACAATACAAACCATACATACTAATCAATATATGTATTTATTTATTGATAAAATATGTTGTGCTTTTATACACAGCTATGCAAAGTACATCAGCTAATACAGATTCAGATTCGGTTTTTTAAGACTCTGAATCATTTCCTCTTTAGTAATGATTCAGATTCTGAGTTTTCAGATTCTGAAGTTGGCAACCTGCTCAGAAGCAGTCGCCTGTGCAGCTACCCTCCTGGCAAAACACACAAATTTCAAAAAAGACTGTACTCCAAGAATTAGTGATTACATGTGATTTTAGAAAGCAAAGCTGATGTTTATAAAATGGGTTCCAGTGGAGACAACAAAATATTCCAACCGGTTGGTCAGGAATCCTCATTTTATAAACTCTGGACACTGGACACCCTCTGGAACCCCCAAGAAAAACCCACTACGAAGACGCAAGTCTCCTGCATCATCCTTGGGAACCTGCTCAGCAGCAGTCGCCCGTGCAGTTTCCCCTCCTGGCAAAACACGCAATGTTTTTTTGAAATTATCCTTGTCCATCAGTTGTGGGTTGACAGCCACAAAGTCCCAGAATTACTGATTACGAAAAACAAAGCTGATGTTTATAAAACTGATTCCAGTGGAAAAAACAAAATATTCCAACCGGTTGGTCAGGAATAATCATTTTATAAACTCTGGAACCCCTGTGGAACCCTCAAGGAAACACCAACTATGAAGACGTCCTTGGCAACCTGCTCAGAAGCAGTCGCCTGTGCAGGGACCCCTCCTGGCAAAACACACAAATTTTCAAAAAAGACTCTACTCCAAGAATTAGTGATTACATGTGATTACAAAAAACAAAGCTGATGTTTATAAAATGGATTCCAGTGGAAAAAACAAAATATTCCAACCGGTTGGTCAGGAATCATCATTTTATAAACTCTGGAACCCCTCTGGAACCCGCAAGTCCAATTCAACGCAGGGAGACCCGAGCGAAGGACCCCGCGGTTCGCCGTGGAGGTGCCATCCCTCACCGTGGTGCACCGATGTGCGCCGCGTCCCTCCCCGGTAAGGGAATAGACACAGAGAAGGGGGAGAGAAAAAGTGCAGAAAAAGTAGCTAGTTAATTGTCAATTGTTAGTTATTTGGCATCTTGAGATCTTGACATACGAATGTTCATTTAATAAAGGCTACGGATTTGGCATCTTACGGACATTTCCGATTCGCAATTCGCATTTCATGTTGATATCTATCTTAACCTACCATAACCTGTGCTGGTAATTTATGAACTAGCTGGTTTTTCATTTTATAAACCAAAAGACCTATCCCACACATCTTATCAACCCCCGCAGCTTATACAATGAAAAATCGACGCCCCTATGAACAATCACGGGGGATCTTCATGAGCACTATCCCCAGCAACATCATACTAGTGACACCGAAGAGGTTCAGTAGGTGATCACCCTCCACACACACCCTCCACAACTTCCAAGTTTGCTGCATGGATTCTCTGCATATAGCAATCAACACCGCAACCAAGCGAGCCGCCTGCTCGCCTTCTGCACGTAACGCTTCAACCACAGCTTCTTGACCTCCTCTGGCTGGAGACCTTCAAGATCTTGAGCGTTGCCTCGTGACGGTTGCCAGCCCATGCTCATGGCTCGCGCCAAACCTTGTGGTCCAATGTCCACCACCTAATCTCGTCCTCCCAAGCCCCAGCGTGGAGCTTCCAACGCTCTCGCCCAAAATCAGAAATTCAATCGCCTCGATCATTTCGGCTTCTGCCGTGAGACAGCTGGGAAAGGTTGCTTGGATGTGTGCCCCCCACAGACGGTGAAGTCTGCTTCTTCCGGTACCGTATACTTGATGGGCTGATTCCAGTGCCCACTTCTGGTGCTCTCGAGATTGCTGAGCAAATGCGGCCAACAGCAGTGGAGATGTCTGGCCGTGTCTTGGTCGCCCATAGTAGTTCTCCTGCAGCTTGTTGCGCTGCTTGAACCTAAAGTTGCGTTTTTCCCGGTTCCTCCTCCGGCTCTGAGGTAACCTTCATGACGATGTTGTTCGCCATCGAGCCCATGGAGTGCCTGTCCAGCAGTTCCCGGAAGGAGCCATTCTGGTTCATAAACACACCCTGCTCCGACACAAAATCTCCCATTTGTGGACTGTTGATTCCCATTGCTTCCCCACGATTTGTAGCAGCCTCATCCATTTTGTGACTTCCCAGAATGAGCGCACCATCCACACAGAACAGCGCCAACCCACGAACTTCTCCTTGAGAGCCTTTAGCCGCTTCACGACCTCGAAGGATCCAGAGACTCTTCTTTGTTTTCTCCTTCACGAACCAGCCCCATGCGACGCAGGATTCTCGGGTGGCTGCATCAGGACGACAAGTCGCTGCCTTTTGTTGGGGTCGTTTGCGTCTTCTTCATCGTCCTCCTTGTTTTCACCATTGGTCGTTTTGTTCACCGCCCATGACGAACACGACGGACGGAGCCCCGCCGCGCAGCGAGTTGGACACAAGCGAAAGTCGCTTGCCACAGAGCATGCTGACTCCGCTGAGGGGAAGAAAAGAGTTGATCAAAAAATGCGAACGAAACAACATGT